TTTGTAGGGTCAATGAGCGAATAGTGTTGTTAAACGGGGGGCATGGGCAAGTTGCAGCAGAGGAATAGTGTCCTTATCTGTTCCCAACTTTCCACAGAGACATACAAATATGAATATCACAAAACAGTCTTTGACTAACATTATAAAATGTCAATCTTAAATAATGTATTTATTCTCTTAAAATGGTCCTAAAATGGTCAATCCACAATCCATGACATCAGCTTGTTGTAAGGGTTGGTGTGAGGTGTGACCCAGTTGCGGTGCAGGATATACAGTAGACAGAGATGGTGAAACAAGGATCTTTACTGGTGGTCTTGAAGCCAAAACACAAAATAATGGAATTATCACGATAAAAGAAAGGCGGAGCAAATAAGTCTCCAAAAACCGTCTGACAGCCAAAATACGAAATACTACCTATGACTGAAACAAATAACGAAACAGGGAGAACACCATGTACCTGTACATAATGTGAGGGAAAAAAGTATTTTATCCCCTGCTGATTTTGTACGTTTGCCCACTGACAAAGACATGATCAGTCTATCATTTTAATGGTAGGTTTATTTGAACAGTGAGAGATAGAATAACAACAAAAAAATCCAGAAAAACGCATGTCAAAAATGTTATAAATTGATTTGCATTTTAATGAGGGAAATAAGTATTTGACCCCCTCTCAATCAGAAAGATTTCTGGCTCCCAGGTGTCTTTTATACAGCTAACGAGCTGAGATTAGGAGCACACTCTTAAAGGGAGTGCTCCTAATCTCAGCTTGTTACCTGTATAAAAGACACCTGTCCACAGAAGCAATCAATCAATCAGATTCCAAACTCTCCACCATAGCCAAGACTAAAGAGCTCTCAGAAGATGTCAGGGACAAGATTGTAGACCTACACAAGGCTGGAATGGGCTACAAGACCATCGCCAAGCAGCTTGGTGAGAAGGTGACAACACTTGGTGCGATTATTCGCAAATGGAAGAAACACAAAATAACTGTCTATCTCCCTCGGTCTGGGGCTCCATGCAAGATCTCACCTCGTGGAGTTGCAATGATCATGAGATCGGTGAGGAATCAGCCCAGAACTACACAGGAGGATCTTGTCAATTATATCAAGGCAGCTGGGACCATAGTCACCAAGAAAACAATTGGTAACACACTACGCCGTGAAGGACTGAAATCCTGCAGCGCCCGCAAGGTCCCCCTGCTCAAGAAAGCACATATATAGGCCCGTCTGAAGTTTGCCAATGAACATCTGAATGATTCAGAGGAGAGCTGGGTGAAAGTGTTGTGGTCAGATGAGACCAAAATGGAGCTCTTTGCCATCAACTCAAATCGCCGTGTTTGGAGGAGGAGGAATGCTGCCTATGACCCCAAGAACACCATCCCCACCGTCAAACATGGAGGTGGAAACATTATGCTTTGGGGGTGTTTTTCTGCTAAGGGGACAGGACAACTTCACCGCATCAAAGGGACGATGGACGGGGCCATGTACCGTCAAATCTGGGGTGAGAACCTCCTTCCCTCAGCCAGGGCATTGAAAATGGGTCGTGGATGGGTATTCCAGCATGACAATGACCCAAAATACACGGCCAAGGCAACAAAGGAGTGGCTCAAGAAGAAGCACATTAAGGTCCTGGAGTGGCCTAGCCAGTCTCCAGACCTTAATCGCATAGAAAATCTGTGGAGGGAGCTGAAGGTTCGAGTTGCCAAACGTCAGGCTCGAAACCTTAATGACTTGGAGAAGATCTGCAAAGAGGAGTGGGACAAAATCCCTCCTGAGATGTGTGCAAACCTGGTGGCCAACTACAAGAAACGTCTGACCTCTGTGATTATTTCCCTCATTAAAATGCAAATCAATTTATGACATGCATTTTTCTGTTTTTTGTTGTTGTTATTCTGTCTCTCACTGTTCAAATAAACCTACCATTAAAATTATAGACTGATCATGTCTTTGTCAGTGGGCAAACATACAAAATCAGCAGGGGATCAAATACTTTTTTCCCTCACTGTAGGTCTCCGATCAGACACTGAGTAGTGATTAAAAGTTTTTATTCAAAAATCCACACCATACATCATCACATACATTACACACAACATTAATACCCAACCCCAACATCACTAAAAATAACAATACGAAACTACTCAACACAATATATATTAAACACCCACAAAACCGAACAATAACAGAAATTACACCCCAGGGGAGCACCTTCCCTCCCCCTTTATATATACCCATCTAAAAACACACACACAAATCCTAAATCCCTACCCCTCTACACTAACCCTAACCCTAAACCCCCCTTCCACCTCTCCCGAGCAGCATGCTGCCCTCATTTCCTCTCCTCTCTCTTCATTCTCCCCCTCAAATTCTGCTCCACCCTCCTCACTATCCCCTCCACACCCCCATCTCTCCCTGTCCTTTCCATTTTCTGCCTAGCTTCCCACAACCCCCGTTTAAAGAGGCTTATGAGAAGCCAGAGCAGAAACCTGTCCCTAACCGTCCCCCTCGCTTTCCCTACACCTCTCTCTATCCTAGCCCACGTCACAACAAAATTCCCCCTCACCCTGCCTATCAACACCTGTGCCCTAGCCCATACCACCCCGGCGAAAGCACAGCCCCAAAAAACATGGCGCAATGTCTCCTCCCCGCCACAAGTTGGTCTTGGGCAGGTGTGAGATCGTGTCATACCACGCCTGTACATGATGGAACGCAGAGGCAAGCACTTATGGAGGCTCAACCAATTCAGGTCCTTGAGCCCGTTGTCCAGACCACGCACCTGCACTCCTTCCCAGACCCCAGCCGGGATACCCACTACGGGCCCGACGTGAGGTCAAAAAACGTCACCCATGTGACCGTTTTCATTAACCCGGCACCCTGCTCCGACATATAAAGCACGGATCCACCCTATAAACTTCTCCCCTAAACCTAACCTACCTAACACCCTGAAAATAAAATATCTATTCACTCGATCAAAGGCTTTAGCCTGATCAGGTGCTGCTACCATTAACGGCAGCCCTCTATCCTCTACCCAAGCGATGGAGTCCCTAATCAAACTCAGGTTCCACCTAATCCCATATGTCTGGGAAGGGCTGTGCGCAACCGGTCCGCTAGAACCTTCGCAAGCAGCTTATAATCTACGCACAGCATGGTCACCGGCCGCCAGTTGCCAAGGTCTGTTGCGTCCCGCTTCTTGTAAAGAAGTGACAGCACACCTACGGCCATCGATCCCCCCGGGACCCCCGTCTCGAAGATGGCCTTCAAGACATCAAGGACTACCGGACCAAGTTTCCCCCAAAACTTCAGGAAAAACTCTGCCGGCAGCCCATCCATCCCGGGCACCTTCCCTTTTCCCATCCTCCTGAGGGCGCTCTCAAACTCTTTGAGGGAGATCTGAGCCTTCATCGCTTCTCTAATGTCCTCTAGCACTCGCCGGGACAGGTGTTCTAAAAACACGTTTCCCTGCTCTACATCTTTCTTGAAAAAAACCTCGGAAATGTTCTGTGGTCACCTTGACCATTTCCTCAGTTTCTCTCACTACTTTACCGTTTTCTTCCCTAACCCCGTACATTACCTTCCTACTCTGTCTTCCAATAACTGATTTAAAGAACACGGCGGAACAAGTCTCGTCGTGTTCTAAAAACCCACTATGCGCACGCTCCAGGAAAGCGCAAGCCTTCCGCTCCGGCACCTCCCTAAGTTGCGCCTTTAGGGCAGAGGATCTCTCCCAGTCTACCGATCCGCCGAGGTTGCCTGCCTCGAGCTCGAGTTCGAGCAGCCTTTGGATATGATCCACCTCCCTCCTTTCCTCCCTCTTTTTCCTCTTACAATATCCTATTATAAAAACCCTAATCCTCACCTTTGCTATTTCCCACCACTCTAACACCCCTCACACATGGACCGGAGGCCCTCAAGCCCCCTAAAGAAATCAACATAACGAAAGCCTGCTCATCCAGTACCTCCCGTTCTAACTTCCAGTACCCCCTACCGAAGAGGCAGACTGGTGCCCCCACCTGCAGCAGCACCCCGCCGTGATCGGAAAAAAGCTCCATCTCCTCCTGTAGGGACTCCGACTCCACCCCAGATGCACCCCCACTCCCCTCCATCTCTCCAACCCAGGATGTAGGAATGGTGCTTGGCTCCTGGGTTCCCTGCATCCTGGGCTCACCACCATCCACCTCCAAAACCCCAATCTCAAAACAGGTTGGGAACAGTGAAGGGGATCCTGAGCCCTCCCCCCCCTGTGCGTTGGGGGGGAGCAGCGAGGACACAGGAGATTCTTCCCCCACAGCGCCCTTCTCCCCCACCACCCATCCGAGGATCTCCCCCTCCTCTTCCCTCTCTTCTTTGGAGACACCGGCAGTGGGGAGACCCAGCCCCCCTTGATCACCAGCTCCTCCATCATCTCCCTCACCTCATCCCCCTGGGCACTCGACATCTCGCTTTCCCCCCACTCCGGCCCCCCCTCTCCCCCCTTCTCCTCTCCTCCCAGGGTTGTGGCTGGCACCTCCCCGACCTCCTCTCCCTCTGCCGCCTCCGTCTCCGGCACCTCCTCTCCCACACTCCCCTCCGTCTCCGGCACCACCTCTCCTTCCGGAACTGCTACGGCAGTCCTCTGCCCGTCCCCCTCTCCTCCCGCTGCTGTTCTCGGCTCCTCCTCCGTCATCGCTGGTATTGCCTCTGGCCCTGCGCTTGGGTCTGAAACTCCTCCTCCTCTTCCTCCTCTCCTGCTCCCCCACCTACTCCCCCACCAGCTGCAGCTGCATACGACTTGTGACAAGCCGTACACTCCCTCCACAGGTGTGCTGACGATCCACACCCGTGGCACTTCTTCGACTCGTCACAGTCCCTCGCCTCGTGTGCCTCAGACCCACACACCCTGCATTTCTTCGCCCCACATGAGGCGAAATTATGGCCATAGGCCATGCATCGTCTGCAGAAAGGGGGCTGATGGGCATAAAACAATGTCCCCCTGTCAGCCCCCAGGGAGAACAGAGCTGGAGGATGAAGGTAACCTCCCAGGCCCTTTGGGTCTTCCCTCAACAGAGCCTGGAAGCTTCTCCTCCCGTTCCAGAACCCTAGAAAGTCTTTGAGGAGCCTTGCCGAGGAGACATTGTCCATATACCTCCCCATAAAAACCCTCACCTCCTCATCCTTAACATGCGGGTTATACATGTTTACTGTTATTACTCTGAAGTTGTTCTTGGCCAAGCTTGTCACCTCGTAGTGGCACATCGGCCTGGCCTTCTCCACCTTCCTCGCCTTTTTCATGACCTCGTCATGCTTCCCCTCCGTGTGAAAAACCACATCATAAGCCCCTTCCAAGGGGTTCGCCTGGAGGCACATCAGTCCTTTACCGCCATCTTTAACACTCCCATCAACAAAGTCCTCCCAAATGTTTCACTTCCAAAAGGCTCCATGTCCTTCTCCTTCCACGCAAACCTAACTGCGTTTGTGATCCCAATCCTGGGAATTGCCCTAAAATTCGCATTTTTCGCAATCTCTGCGAGGAGAATAGCGCCCGCACCACTGCTCCGAATCTTCTCCATATTAGTTACAAACAATTTTTAACTATTTTAATTGATTTCAACCACCGCTAGCTTCCTTCTTAGACAGTCGTAGTACTGCTCCTGTAACACCACTCTAAATGGACCGACGAACCGGGGGGACAGCTTCCTGGACTACACGAGGAGGGGAAGATCCCGCGTGGAGAGCCACACCCTCTGTCCCGGGCAAAAATACGTGGCTGGGCGACACCTGCGGTTGGCCTGATGTTGAGACCTGACCGAGGCCCGCTAAAGTGCCGCCCATAGCTGCCTCCAGGTGTGGCGACAGCGACTGATGTGGGCCTGGACTGACGGGACTGCCGCCTCCTCTTGCTCAGGGAATAGGGGGGGTTGGTACCCGTATTGGCACTGGAAGGGGGACAGGCCGGTGGACGAGCAGAGAAGGGTGTTGTGGGCGTACTCTGCCCACGCCAGTCGCTGACTCCACGTAGCTGGGTTGCTGGAGGCGTAGCACCTCAGCACCCCTTCCAGATCCTGGTTGACGCGCTCCGTCTGCCCGTTCGACTGGGGATGGAAGCCGGAAGACAAGCTGACGGAGGCGCCGAGGCAGGTGGCGAACGCCTTCTTGAACCTGGAGGCGAACTGAGGGCCCCGATCCGACACCACATCTTGGGGAAGGCCGTGGACCCGGAAAACATGCTGCACCACCAACTTAGCCATTTCCCGGGCCGACGGGAGTTTGGGAAGGGGAATGAAGTGGGCAGCCTTCGAGAACCGGTCCACAACGACCAGGATGACTGTGTATCCATCAGAGGGGGGTAGGGCAGAAATGAAATCCAGAGAGATGTGGGACCAGGGACGCTTGGGGATAGGCAGGGGTCAGAGCAGCCCTGCCGCGGGCTGACGTGAGCTCTTAGTGCGCGTGCACACCGGGCAAGCAGCCTCGAAGGCGCGCGTATCCCCCTCAGCAGATGGCCACCAGAACCTCCTACGTGGGAACTCTAACATCCTGGCGCCCCCCGGATGGCTGGTGAGGTCGGACGTGTGCGCCCACTGAAGCAGTCTCGAGCGCGCAGCCTTGGGTATGTACATCCTCCCCGATGGACCTCCGCCTGGATCGGGCTCCCGCCGTAGCGCTGCTCTGACCAGTCTGTCAATTCCCCACAAAACTGGTGCAGCGATCAGGGCGTTGGGGACAATGGGGTCGTTCCTCTCCACCAGGTCCACTGGGTCGAACTGCCGGGAGGGCGCGTCAGGCTTGGTGTTCTTCGACCCCGGACGGTAAGAGATGGTGAACCGGAACCTGGTGAAGAACAACGCCCACCTGGCCTGGCGCAAGTTGAGCCTCTTGGCCCCCTGAATGTAGGCTAAGTTCTTATGGTCCGTCCATACGACGAATGGATGGGCGGCCCCCTCTAGTCAATGCCTCCACTCCCCCAGGGCAAGCTTGACCGCTAGCAACTCACGGTTCCCCACGTCGTAATTCTGCTCCGCCGGGCACAGCCGACGGGAGAAAAACGTGCAGGGGTGTCTTACCGTCCGTGAGGAACCGCTGGGACAGGATTGCTCCCACCGCAACGTCTGAAGCATCCACCTCCACAATGAACGGCAGGGACGGATCAGGATGCCCTAGGACCGGGGCTGATGTAAAGCGTCGCTTAAGCGCAACAAATGTGTTCCCCGCATCCAGGGTCCAGGCAAAGGAGCGCACGCTCGTCTGGGTGAGGGCTGTCAGGGGAACGGCAAGGGAGCTACAATTGCGAATATATCGCCTATAAAAATGTGGGAACCCTAAAAACTGCTGTAGTTGCTTGAGGGATGAGGGCTGGGGCCAATCCAGTACCGCGCTGACCTTGGCTGGGTCCTTCCGTTGGTCCCCCTGGGTGACAATGAACCCCAGGAAGGAGACTATCTCTGTGTGGAACACACAGTTCTCCGCCTTGACATAGAGCTGGTGATGGAGAAGGCGTTGGAGGACCTGCCGAACGTGCTGCTGGTGTTCACTCATGTCCTTTGAGAATATTAAGATGTCATCCAAATACACGAAGACACTGTAGTCGAGGAGGTCCCAGAGCATGTCATTGACCAACGCCTGGAACACCGCAGGCATGTTGGCTAGACCGAACGGCATGACTTTGTACTCGTAATGCCCACTGGGTGTGTTTAAAAGCCGTCTTCCACTCGTCCCCCTCCCGAATCCTCACCAGGTTGTAGGCATTGCGTAAGTCCAGCTTGGTGAAGACCCGGGCTCCCTGCAACAACTCGAATGCCATCGTCATCAGGGGGAGTGGATAGCGGTTCTTAACCGTGATGTCGTTGAGCGCCCGGTAATCAATGCACGGCCGCTGCCCACCGTCCTTTTTCCCCACGAAGAAGAAGCCCGTGCCCGCGGGTGAGGTAGAGGGACGGATGTGACCCTCGACAAGTGCCTCGTCGATATACTCCCTCATGGCCAGCGTGTCCGGCCGGGACAAGGAAAACAATCTCCCTCGTGTGGGCATGGCGCCCGGCAGGAGATTGATAGTGCAGTCGTATGGCCTGTGAGGAGGTAGGCCCTTGGCACGCCTCTTACTAAACACCTCCCCCAGATCCCAATACTCCCGGGGAACGCCTGCCAGGTCTGGACCGGTGACGGAGTCTGTAGCCGCCGTCCTCCCGGTGGCAACTGCCGCTTGGGCGGTAGGTGGTTCGGAGTGCGGGACCTGGGGAAGAGGTGAGGACTGGTAGGTGGTCTGGGACGGTGGTTTGGGCTCTCCCACTCCGCGGTAGCCAGGGCTGCTGCGGCTTCTGTTCCGCCGGCTGCCGGGGCTGGTCGGGTGTCCATCCGGCTCTGCATGGCGATCGTCAGCTGGCAGAGATTCTCGATGATCTGCTGCAGGCTGCGGTCGTGTTGGTTCAGCATAGCTCCCTGTATTGCCAATGCGCTCCAATACTGTGCTGCCTTCGCTGGGTCCATATTGGCTCAGTTTTCTGTAAGGGTTGGTGTGAGGTGTGACCCAGGTGCGGTGCAGGATATACAGTAGGCAGTAGGCCGAGATGGTGAAACAAGGATTTTTACCGAAGCCAAAATACAAAATAACGGACTTATCACGATAAAAGAAAGGTGGAGCCAAAATATGAAATACTACCTACGACTGAAACAAATAACGAAACAGGGAGAACACTTCTCAAGTACCTGTACATAGGTCTCCGATCAGACACTGCTGGACATAGAGAAACTAACAGAGAAAACTGAGCAAGGGAACACAGGGAAGTGAGGGCATAAATACACAGGTGAACAGGTAGACACAGGTGACACCAATAGGATACTGATTAGTCCAGACTGTGAGTGAGGAGGTGCCTAAGGTCGTTGGAGGATGACACCTAGTGGGTCGCTCCGGAACTGCAACCCCCTCCTGTAACAGCTTGTACTATTTATCCTTCATATAACTCTATAAACTCATGCAGGTGATTCGTGCAGTGCATTCCAATGGCACTAAAGCATACAGTGGGGAAAAAAGTATTTAGTCAGCCACCAATTGTGCAAGTTCTCCCACTTAAAAAGATGAAAGAGGCCTGTAATTTTCATCATAGGTCCACGTCAACTATGACAGACAAATTGAGATTTTTTTTCCCAGAAAATCACATTGTAGGATTTTTTATGAATTTATTTGCAAATTATGGTGGAAAATAAGTATTTGGTCACCTACAAACAAGCAAGATTTCTGGCTCTCACAGACCTGTACCTTCTTCTTTAAGAGGCTCCTCTGTCCTCCACTCGTTACCTGTATTAATGGCACCTGTTTGAACTTGTTATCAGTATAAAAGACACCTGTCTACAACCTCAAACAGTCACACTCCAAACTCCACTATGGCCAAGACCAAAGAGCTGTCAAAGGACACCAGAAACACAATTGTAGACCTGCACCAGGCTGGGAAGACTGAATCTGCAATAGGTAAGCAGCTTGGTTTGAAGAAATCAACTGTGGGAGCAATTATTAGGAAATGGAAGACATACAAGACCACTGATAATCTCCCTCGATCTGGGGCTCCACGCAAGATCTAACCCCGTGGGGTCAAAATGATCACAAGAACGGTGAGCAAAAATCCCAGAACCACACGGGGGGACCTAGTGAATGACCTGCAGAGAGCTGGGACCAAAGTAACAAAGCCTACCATCAGTAACACACTACGCCGCCAGGGACTCAAATCCTGCAGTGCCAGAAGTGTCCCCCTGCTTAAGCCAGTACATGTCCAGGCCCGTCTGAAGTTTGCTAGAGTGCATTTGGATGATTCAGAAGAGGATTGGGAGAATGTCATATGGTCAGATGAAACCAAAATAGAACTTTTTGGTAAAAACTCAACTCATCGTGTTTGGAGGACAAAGAATGCTGAGTTGCATCCAAATAACACCATACCTACTGTGAAGCATGGGGGTGGAAACATCATGCTTTGTGGCTGTTTTTCTGCAAAGGGACCAGGACGACTGATCCGTGTAAAGGAAAGAATGAATGGGGCCATGTATCGTGAGATTTTGAGTGACAACCTCCTTCCATCAGCAAGGGCATTGAAGATTAAACGTGGCTGGGTCTTTCAGCATGACAATGATCCCAAACACACCGCCCGGGCAACGAAGGAGTGGCTTCGTAAGAAGCATTTCAAGGTCCTGGAGTGGCCTAGCCAGTCTCCAGATCTCAACCCCATAGAAAATCTTTGGAGGGAGTAGAAAGTCTGTGTTGCCCAGCGACAGCCCCAAAACATCACTGCTCTAGAGGAGATCTGCATGGAGGAATGGGCCAAAATACTAGCAACAGTGTGTGAAAACCTTGTGAAGACTTACAGAAAACGTTTGACCTGTGTCATTGCCAACAAAGGGTAAATAACAAAGTATTGAGAAACTTTTGTTATTGACCAAATACTTATTTTCCACCATAATTTGCAAATAAATTCATTAAAAATCCTACAATGTGATTTTCTGAATTTATTTTCCTCATTTTGTCTGTCATAGTTGACGTGTACCTATGATGAAAATTACAGGCCTCTCTCATCTTTTTAAGTGGGAGAACTTGCACAATTGGTGGCTGACTAAATACTTTTTTTCCCCACTGTAAATAGGGGGAATTTAACCAAAACCAGACAAGCTCATTCACATTCTAGATTTGGAGAACACTTCAAATGCATCTACTAGTTCACTATGAAGTTCCCCTATTTTTATCTCACTTACATATGGAAAATAAATGGGCTTATGCTTTGATAACATGGAGAACATGTATTTGAATACTAAATGAAATTGATATCACTTAGAAAGTCATTTGCTTATCCCTATTAGCATCTGCAGCCTCTTTATCACAGACTGCAGTGTTCTGAGCTGAGCACAATGAGTTCCCTCTGAATGTCAGTGGAGCTGGTTGGTTAAGAAGATCCCTGAGAAAGTTGCGGTTGTGAGTTGTGGTCAAGGCTGTGGACTGTGACCGTTCTCAGGGATCCATCCTGAGAATGGTTAATCCGGCCAGAGGTGACAGAGTGAAACGAGGCGTCACTGTCTGAAGTGTCACTCTCGAACCCTTGGGTCTCCAGGCCCCCGCTCACACAGACGACCGAGAGGGACAATGTTAGGTTGGGGTTGTGGTCATAGTCATGGTCACTAGGCTCAGAGTGGTGCTGTTCTGAGTAGTCTTGGTAAGTCATATCTGGCTCACTGGGGATGACAGGCAGAGATACTGAATGCTCAATTAAATGTCAGATCATGATAATTCTGATGGTAATGATAGTAGTGATCATAATCATAAATATGAAGATTCACATCTCCATTACCTGTGTTCAGAGTCACTGGGGGGACTGATATGACCACTACTGCCGTCACTGTTCCCACTGTCCCCTTCCACCAGACCTATACTGCTGCAGGCCCCACGCTGCACCCTACTCTCGGAGGGCCACCGCCGGGTTGCCATGGAGATCCTCCTCTTCATAAGTCTCCTGGTGCCCCTGTGGGTGATGTGTGGGGAAGTTAGGGCGGCGGTCCACAGGCCCAGCTGCTCATCATCACTGGAGTCTCTGGAACATACAGGTTATACCACTGTTACAACACACAACTGCAATTCTGTATGACTAAGGGACACATCCTAGTTCATTAATTAATTTATATTCCACATTAGTTATATGTTTAGTTACTATGAGACAAGTGGTTTCTAGTGACAAAATGCCATTGGGACAAGTGAGTAACTTACTGTATCTTAAGTGTAACCAAATCAAATCAATTTTTATTTGTCACATGCGCCGAATACTACAGGTGTACACCTTACCGTGAAATGCTTACTTACAAGTCTTTAACCAACAATGCAGTTCAATAAATAGAGTTAAGAAAATATTTACTAAATAAACTAAAGTAAAAAAATAAAAAAATAAGTAACACAATAAAATAACAATAACGAGGCTATATACAGGGGGTACCGGCACCGAGGCTTGGGGGTAGAAGCTGTTAACGAAACTTTTGGACCTAGACTTGGCGCTCCGGTACCGCTTGCCATGCGGTAGCAGAGAGAACAGTCTATGACTTGGGTGACTGGAGTCTTTGACCATTTTCTGGGCCTTCCTCTGACACTGCCTAGTATATACAGTGGGGAAAAAAAGTATTTAGTCAGCCACCAATTGTGCAAGTTCTCCCACTTAAAAAGATGAGAGAGGCCTGTAATTTTCATCATAGGTACACGTCAACTATGACAGACAAATTGAGAAAAGAAAATCCAGAAAATCACATTGTAGGATTTTTAATGAATTTATTTGCAAATTATGGTGGAAAATAAGTATTTGGTCAATAACAAAAGTTTCTCAATACTTTGTTATATACCCTTTGTTGGCAATGACACAGGTCAAACGTTTTCTGTAAGTCTTCACAAGGTTTTCACACACTGTTGCTGGTATTTTGGCCCATTCCTCCATGCAGATCTCCTCTAGAGCAGTGATGTTTTGGGGCTGTCGCTGGGCAACACGGACTTCCAAAGATTTTCTATGGGGTTGAGATCTGGAGACTGGCTAGGCCACTCCAGGACCTTAAAATGCTTCTTACGAAGCCACTCCTTCGTTGCCCGGGCGGTGTGTTTGGGATCATTGTCATGCTGAAAGACCCAGCCACGTTTAATCTTCAATGCCCTTGCTGATGGAAGGAGGTTTTCACTCAAAATCTCACAATACATGGCCTCATTCATTCTTTCCTTTACACGGATCAGTCGTCCTGGTCCCTTTGCAGAAAAACAGCCCCAAAGCATGATGTTTCCACCCCCATGCTTCACAGTAGGTATGGTGTTCTTTGGATGCAACTCAGCATTCTTTGTCCTCCAAACACGACGAGTTGAGTTTTTACCAAAATGTTCTATTTTGGTTTCATCTGACCATATGACATTCTCCCAATCCTCTTCTGGATCATCCAAATGCACTCTAGCAAACTTCAGACGGGCCTGGACATGTACTGGCTTAAGCAGGGGGACACGTCTGGCACTGCAGGATTTGAGTCCCTGGCGGCGTAGTGTGTTACTGATGGTAGGCTTTGTTACTTTGGTCCCAGCTCTCTGCAGGTCATTCACTAGTTCCCCCCGTGTGGTTCTGGGATTTTTACTCACCGTTCTTGTGATCATTTTGACCCCACGGGGTGAGATCTTGCGTGGAGCCCCAGATCGAGGGAGATTATTAGTGGTCTTGTATGTCTTCCATTTCCTAATAATTGCTCCCACAGTTGATTTCTTCAAACCAAGCTGCTTACCTATTGCAGATTCAGTCTTCCCAGCCTGGTGCAGGTCTACAATTTTGTTTCTGGTGTCCTTTGACAGCTCTTTGGTCTTGGCCATAGTGGAGTTTGGAGTGTGACTGTTTGAGGTTGTGGACAGGTGTCTTTTATACTGATAACAAGTTCAAACAGGTGCCATTAATACAGGTAACGAGTGGAGGACAGAGGAGCCTCTTAAAGAAGAAGTTACAGGTCTGTGAGAGCCAGAAATCTTGCTTGTTTGTAGGTGACCAAATACTTATTTTCCACCATAATTTGCAAATAAATTCATTAAAAATCCTACAATGTGATTTTCTGGATTTTTTTCCCTCAATTTGTCTGTCATAGTTGACGTGTACCTATGATGAAAATTACAGGCCTCTCTCATCTTTTTAAGTGGGAGAACTTGCACAATTGGTGGCTGACTAAATACTTTTTTTCCCCACTGTAGGTCCTGGATGGCAGGAAGCTTGGCCCTAGTGATGTACTGGACCGTACGCACTACCCTCTGTAGCGCCTTACGGTCGGATGCCGAGCAGTTGCCATACCAGGCGGTGATGCAACCAGTCAGGATGCTCTCCATGGTGCAGCTTTAGAACATTTTGAGGATCTGGGGACCCATGCCAAATCTTTTCAGTCTTTTCAGTTTCAGGTGTAGTCATGCCCTCTTCACGACTGTCTTGGTGTATTTGGACCATGATAGTTTGTTGGTGATGTGGACACCAAGAAACTTGAAACTCTCGACCCGCTCCACTACAGCCCTGTCGATGTGAATGGGGGCGTATTCGGCCCTCCTTTTCCTGTAGTCCACAATCAGTTCCTTTGTCTTGCTCACATTGAGGGAGAGGTTGTTGTCTCTGACCTCCTCCCTATAGATTGTCTCATCGTTGTCGGTGATCAGGCCTACCACTGTTGTGTCGTCAGCAAACTTAATGATGGTGTTGGAGTCGTGCTTGGCCACTCAGTCGTGGGTGAACAGGGAGTACAGGAGGGGACCAAGCACGCACCCCTGAGGGGCCCCCGTGTTGAGGATCAGCGTGGCAGATGTGTTGTTGCCTACCCTTACCACCTGGGGTTGGCCCGTCAGGAAGTCCAGGATCCAGTTGCAGAGGGAGGTGTTTAGTCCCAGGGTCCTTAGCTTAGTGATGAGCTTTGTGGGCACTATGGTGTTGAACGCTGAGCTGTAGTCAATGAACAGTATTCTCACATACAGTGAGGGAAAAACGTATTTGATCCCCTGCTGATTTTGTACGTTTGCCCACTGACAAAGAAATGATCAGTCTATAATTTTAATGGTAGGTTTATTTGAACAGTGAGAGACAGAATAACAACAACAAAAATCCAGGAAAACGCATGTGAAAAATGTTATAAATTGATTTCAATTTTAATGAGGGAAATAAGTATTTTACCCCCTCTTAATCAGAAAGATTTCTGGCTCCCATGTGTCTTTTATACATTAACATTTTAGTCATTTAGCAGACGCTCTTATCCAGAGCGACTTACAATATATATATATATATATTTTTTTTTATACTGGCCCCCCGTGGGAATCAAACCCACAACCCTGGTGTTGCAAACGCCATGCTCTACCAACTGAGCTACATCCCTGCCGGCCATTCCCTCCCCTACCCTGGACAACTTGTGCGCCGGCCCATGGGTCTCCCGGTCGCGGCCGGCCACGACAGAGCCTGGATTTGAACCAGGATCTCTAGTGGCACAGCTAGCACTGCGATGCAGTGCCTTAGACCACTGCACCACTCGGGAGACTCTTAAAGGGAGTGCTCCTAATCTCAGCTTGTTACCTGTATAAAAGAGACCTGTCCACAGAAGCAATTAATCAATCAGATTCCAAACTCTCCACCATGGCCAAGACCAAAGAGCTCTCCAAGGATGTCAGGGACAAGATTGTAGACCTACACAAGGCTGGAATGGGCTACAAGACCATCGCCAAGCAGCTTGGTGAGAAGGTGACAACAGTTGGTGCGATTATTCATAAATGGAAGAAACACAAAATAACTGTCAATCTCCCTCGGCCTGGGGCTCCATGCAAGATCTCACCTCGTGGAGTTGCAATGATCATGAGAACGGTGAGGAATCAGCCCAGAACTACACGGGAGGATCTTGTCAATGATCTCAAGGCAGCTGGGACCATAGTCACCAAGAAAACAATTGGTAACACACTACGCCGTGAAGGACTGAAATCCTGCAGCGCCTGCAAGGTCCCCCTGCTCAAGAAAGCACATATAAAGGGCCGTCTGAAGTTTGCCAATGAACATCTGAATGATTCAGAGGAGAACTGGGTGAAAGTGTTGTGGTCAGATGAGACCAAAATCGAGCTCTTTGGCATCAATTCAACTCGCCGTGTTTGGAGGAAGAGGAATGCTGCCTATGACCCCAAGAACACCATCCCCACCGTCAAACATGGAGGTGGAAACATTATGCTTTGGGGGTGTTTTTCTGCTAAGGAGACAGGACAACTTCACCACATCAAAGGGACGATGGGTGGGGCCATGTACCGTCAAATCTTGGGTGAGAACCTCCTTCCCTCAGCCAGGGCATTGAAAATGGGTCGTGGATGGGTATTCCAGCATGACAATGACCCAAAACACACGGCCAAGGCAACAAAGGAGTGGCTCAAGAAGAAGCACATTAAGGTCCTGGAGTGGCCTAGCCAGTCTCCAGACCTTAATCCCATAGAAAATCTGTGGAGGGAGCTGAAGGTTTGAGTTGCCAAACGTCAGCCTCGAAACCTTAATGACTTGGAGAAGATCTGCAAAGAGGAGTGGAACAAAATCCCTCCTGAGATGTGTGCAAACCTGGTGGCCAATTGCCAACAAAGGTTTTGCCACCAAGTACTAAGTCATGTTTTGCAGAGGGGTCAAATACTTATTTCCCTCATTAAAATGCAAATCAATTGATAACATTTTTGACATGTGTTTTTCTGGATTTTTGTTGTTGTTATTCTGTCTCTCACTGTTCAAATAAACCTACCATTAAAATTATAGACTGATCATGTCTTTGTCAGTGGGCAAACGTACAAAATCAGCAGGGGATCAAATACTTTTTTCCCCTCACTGTAGGTGTTCCTTTTGTCCAGGTGGGAAAGGGCAGTGTGGAGTGCGATTGCATCATCTGTGGATCTGTTGGGGCGGTATGCGAATTGGAATGGGTCTAGGGTTTCCGGGATGATGGTATTGATGTTACAAACAAAGTGTAACATGATAGTTAAAATCTAATCAAATGTATTGGTCACATACACATGGTTAGCAGATGTTATTGCGAGTGTAGCGAAATGCTTGTGCTTCTTGTTCCGACAGTGCAGCAATATCTAGCAAGTAATATCTAACAGTTCCACAACAAAAACCTAATACACACAAATCTAAGTAAAGGAATGGAATAAGAATATATAAATGTATGGATGAGCAATGTCTTTGCATAGGCTAAGATGCAATATATAGTATAGAATACAGTATATACAATAGATAGTATAGAATAAAGTATATACATAGCTGACCACAGTTAAGTGGTCAGCTAGAATCTAACAGGTTAAACAGGTCATGAGTAATGCGCCCTTGTGGAAGACTCACAGCTCTTCCTCACAGTCCTCCTGAAAAGTCAGGGGTCCCATGCAAACTGCACACACCTGGCCCATACTCTGGAAGCACTGCTTACAGTATACACCTGTGGACGTTAAAACAGCAAATGGGTTAGAGTGCAACAAACCACAGTGGAGCAGTTGAATGGAACAGAAAAGTCAGATTGCCAAGGGGAACATAAAACTCATCAAGACCAGGGGGTATTTCACAAGATAGTATCAAAGATATGGCTCACAAACATGGGTTAACATTCTGAAACAACATGTAATCCCTAAGTGGTTTCAAAGAGTTGCAAATCTGGCTTTGAGAAACACACCCCTCGTGGTCCTTCACCAAAGGTGTTAGCTGAATTCTTATCCTTCTAGGCTGAGTCAACAGTTTAACAGAGTCAACTCCCTCACTGTACACACAATAAGGTCAAACTCCATTTCATTTCACAAGGAAAAAGATACGATTTTATGACACTCAAAGAAAACCGGTGTCAGGTTCGATGTGTATGAGGTGAGTGAAGTCAAGCGCAGGACACAGAGATACTAGCAGACTTACTTTACTAATAGTAAAGAACAAAACAAAACCATACACGTAATATGAAAAACACCATACACGTAATATGAAATACAGCAATGCCGATACCGCCTAGACACAAAACAATAACACACAAATACCAAACATGAGACAAGGGTAATTATAGGATATACAATCAAACATAATAGACATCAGGTGTAACTACTCAAGACTAAACAAGACAAACACCGAACGGCAGTAGCTAGTACTCCGGGGACGACGAACGCCGAAGCCTGCCCGAGCAAGGAGGAGGAGCAGCCTCGGCAGAATCCGTGACAGTACCCCCCCCCTTGACGCGCGGCCCCAGCCGTGCGCCGACCCCAGCCTCGGGGACGGCCAAGAGGACGCGGAGCAGGGCGAGTCGGATGACTCCGGTGGAACTCCGTCAAGAGGGAGGGATCTAGGATGTCCCTCCTAGGGACCCAGCACCGTTCCTCCGGACCGTACCCCTCCCACTCCACGAGATACTGCAGACCCCCCATCCGACGTCTCGAATCCACGATGGAACGGACTGAGTACGCCGGAGCCCCCTCGATGTCCAGTGGGGGCGGAGGAGCCTCTCGTATCTCATTCTCCTGGAGTGGACCAGCTACCACCGGCCTGAGGAGAGACACATGGAACGAGGGGTTAATGCGGTAATTTATGGGCAGTTGTAACCTATAACATACCTCGTTCAATCTCCTCAGGAAAAAAACGTCCCGCTAAGGCAGTGCACCGTTCGACCTATACCCGGATGACCAGAGGAGGGTGACGTGTGAGCCCAATATATCAGTCGATCACGGATCTCGAGCGGCACGTACTTCCACCCCTCTGGACACTCAGGAGGAGTAGGGTCTGTACGTAACGCCCGCTCGATCTCCGCATCGACCTCCCACACCACCGGTGCCACCAGACAAGACTCCGGCAGTATGGGAGTGGGCTCAATGGACCTCTCCTCTGTGTCATATCGCCGGGACAGGGCGTCTGCCTTCACGTTCTGTGACCCTGGTATATACGTGAGCTTAAATACAAACCGGGCAAGAAACATGGCCCACCTAGCCTGACGAGGGTTCAGTCTCCTCGCTTCCCGGATGTACTCCAGGTTACAATGGTCAGTCAGAATGAGGAAAGGGTGTTTAGCCCCCTCAAGCCAATGCCTCCACACCTTTAGGGCTTGAACCACCGCTAGCAGCTCCCTGTCCCCCACGTCATAATTTCATTCCGCCGGACTGAGCTTCTTAGAATAAAAGGCACAGGGACGGAGTTTAGGAGGCGTGCCCGAGCATTGAGACAGTACAGCACCAATCCCCGCCTCGGACGCATCCACCTCCACTTGGAACGCTAAAGAGGGGTCCGGATGTGCCAGCACCGGAACCGAGGTGAACAGGTCCTTCAGATGTCTAAACGCCCTGTCCGCCTCAGCCGACCACTGCAAACGCACCGGGCCCCCCTTTAGCAGGGAGGTGATGGGAGCTGCTACCTGTCCAAAACCCCGGATAAACCTCCGGTAGTAATTGGCAAAACCCAAAAACCTCCTTAACCGTGGTGGGAGTCTGCCAATTACGCACGGCTGAAACGCGGTCAATCTCAATCTCCATCTCCACCCCTGACGTGGACAACCGATGTCCCAGGAAGGAGATGGACTCCTGGAAAAACAGGCATTTCTCCGCCTTCACATACAAGTCATGCTCCAACAGCCTACCCAACACCCGACGCACCAGGGCCACATGCTCGGCTCGTGTAGCGGAGTATGTTAGAATGTCATCAATATACACCACTACACCCTGTCCATGCAAATCCCGGAAAATCTCGTCCACAAATGATTGGAAGACTGAAGGAGCATTCATTAACCCGTAGTGCATGACAAGATACTCATAGTGACCCGAGGTGGTACTAAATGCTGTTTTCCATTCATCTCCCTCCCTAATGCGCACCAGGTTGTAAGCGCTCCTGAGATCCAATTATGTGAAGAATCGTGCCCCGTGTAATGACTCCGTCATACTCGCAATCAGAGGGAGAGGATAACTGTATTTAATGGTAATCTGATTGAGACCACGGTAATCAATACACGGGCGCAAACCCCCATCCTTCTTCTTCACAAAAAAAGAAACTCGAGGACGCAGGAGAAGTGGATGGCTGTATGTATCCCTGTCCAAGAGATTCGGCGATGTATGTCTCCATAGCCGCCGTCTCCTCTTGAGACAGAGGATACACATGACTACGCGGAAGTGCAGCGCCTTCCTGGAGGTCTATCGCACAATCCCCCTGTCTATGAGGTGGTAATTGAGTCGCCCTCTTCTTACTGAAGACGAGTGCCAAATCTGTATACTCAGGAGGAATGTGCAGTGCGGGCATTTGGTTCGGACTTTCCACCGTTGTTGCCCCAACGGAAACACCTATACACCGCCCGACACACTGATCAGACCATTCCCTGAGAGCCCTCTGTTGCCATGAAATGTTGGGGTCATGAGATATTAACCAGGGAAGCCCCAAAACCAAGGGAAACGCAGGAGAGTCAATCAAATACAACTGTATAATCTCCTCATGACCCCCCTGCGTCTTCATCTTAAGTGGCGCTGTGACCTCCCTAATCAATCCCGACCCCAAAGGGCGGCTGTCTAGGGCATGGATAGGGAAGGGCACATCAACTGGTATGAGGGGAATCCCTAACTTATAACAGAAACTGCGATCAATCAAATTCCCAGCTGCGCCTGAATCGACTACCGCCTTATGCTGGGAGTGAGAAGAAACCTCGGGAAACACAACTTGGATACACATGTGGACAACAGAGAGCTCTGGGTGAGTTGGGCGCTTACTCACCTGGAATGACTCATCAGTGCGTGGCCTGCTGCCTCGATCCCTAGGAGACCCTCCCCAGCACCGAACCGCAGTGTGTCCTCTGCGGCCACAGTTGGTGCAGGGGAAGGCCTCTCTCCTGGTCTCTCTCCTCCTCTCTCTAGCACCAGCACCCCCAAGCTCCATAGGGCTCGGCTCGGAGGTGCTGGGGAATGGAATGGACGGCCCCAGCTCCGGACGTCCGCGGGTAGCCAACAGGGTATCCAGACGAATCGACATGTCCACCAGCTGATCGAAACTCAGGTTGGTGTCCCTGCAGGCCAACTCTCGGCGAACGTCCTCCCGTAGGCTGCACCTATAGTGGTCGATGAGGGCCCTCTCATTCCATCCCGCATTGGCCGCCAGAGTCCGGAAATCCAGTGCGAATTCCTGCGCGCTCCTCTTCCCCTGTCTGAGGTGGAACAGACGCTCCCCCGCCGCTTTCCCATCTGGGGGATGATCGAAAACTGCCCTGAAGCGGCGGGAGAACTCCGCATAACTGACTGTAGCGGCGTCTATTCCCCTCCACTCGGCGTTGGCCCACTCCAGTGCCTTGCCGGACAGACAGGAGATGAGGGCGGAAATGCTCTCGTATCCCGAGGGCGGGTGAATGGTTGCCAGGTAGAGTTCTACTTGGAGCAGGAAATCCTGACACCCGGCCGCGGTGCCATCATAAGCCCTCGGGAGCGAGAGCCGAATCCCACTGGACTCCGGAGATGGAACGATGGGTATGGCTGAGGGTGGTGGTATTGTTGGAGGAGGTGTAGGCAAACCTCCTCTCTCCCATCGGCTCAAGGTGTTCATAACATCTTGCATGGCGGTGCCCAGTTTCTGGATCATGGCGTCTTGGTTGCTTACGCGCTCCTCCAATGATCCCGTTGGCACCGCTGATCCTGCTGACTCCATGGTGTGGTGTGTTATTCTGTCAGGTTCGATGTGTATGCGGCGAGTGAAGTCAAGCGCAGGACACAGAGATACAAGCAGACTTACTTTACTAATAGTAAAGAACAAAACAAAACCTCCGAACCAGGAGGGAAAAACACCATACACGTAATATGAAATACAGCAATGCCGATACCGCCTAGACACAAAACAATATCACACCAATACCAAACGTGAGACAAGGGTAATTATAGGATATACAATCAAACATAATAGACAACAGGTGTAACTACTCAAGACAAAACAAGACAAACACCGAAACATCGATCGGCAGTAGCTAGTACTCCAGGGACACAGACGAGCAGGAAACAATGACACACACAAGTACAAACGTGAGCAAGGAATTTA